AGTACACCTATGGATCCTAAGAAGAAACTTGAAATAGAAAAAGAGGGGGTTCTAGTAGATAAAGGAAGATATCAACATCTGGTAGGAAAGCTTATAAATCTCTCCCATGCCCATCCAGATATTGGGTTTGTTGTGAGCATGATTAGCCAATATATGAGTAATCCTATGAAGAAGCACATAGAGGCAATATATCAAATCTTGAGATATCTCAAGAACACTCCTATAAAGCGGCTATTATTAAAAAAAATGAAGAAAAGAAATTGATATTTTATTCTTATGCAAACTGGGCAGGAATCTAGGTTGACAGTCGATCCACCACATGCTATTGTTCATTTGTTTGGAGAAACCTATAGACATGGAGGAGCAAGAAACAATCTATTATTTCCAGAAGCAATGCGGAATCTGATCTGAGAACATTAGTAGTTACTATTTGTGAAAATATTTGGATCAGACAAGTACTGATTGAACAGAGAATAAATATTGAATGCATGATAAAGTTGAAATGTGACAATCAAGCCGCATCAGTATGGTCAAGGATCCAATACATCAAGAAAGAACAAAACATATTATCATTGATAGACACTTTATATCTGAGAAAATAGAGAACTCAAAAATTAAAGTATATATCGCAACTCATGAACATCTTGCTAATGTTCTAACAAAAGCACTACCAGACTCTCTACTTGACAAGTTTGTTTGTATGTTAGAATTGTACAACATGTAAAACCCAACTTGAGGGGGAGTGTCGAATCACACAGCAAGGAGGGGGCCCCATGGCTTTGACAGGTCAGCAATCCGTGGGCTACAACCGTGGGCTGCAATTGGAGATTTCCTCTTCTGACAGCAAAATTCGTAGGATTGATTCTAAGATTCGTGGGATATAATTATTAGAATCAATTAGATTAAAAGATGTCCCTATTCTGTTTCTTATATTTAATTAGATTAAATGTCTTTCTCCTAAGAGTATATATATGTAATGATTCTAAAAAATTAAATTTCCCTTAAACAATTTCTTCACTTTCGAATTTTTAAATATAGTTTTAGATGATTTTATTTTATTTTTTTATTTTATAAAAAGGGTTTTGTTTTTAACTGTTGAATCTGAAATTGTTTGGTGGATGATGTCCGACTTTACTAACATATCAATCTAGTGAGCTTAGAACCTATTGGTGAGGATGGAGAGTAGAAAGAAAAGAAAGGATAGACAAAGGAAGAGCAGACTGATGAAATGTCTACCATCCCAATTAGAAAATATAGGGAAAGCGTATGAGATCCAAAGTCCAACTAGGAGCGAGATAAAGATCACAAAAAAGGTTCAAAAGAACTTCCCAAACTATTTCTCATAACTACTTATATTTATAAAATTTTGAGGATCATAGGAAATTCTATACATAGAGGAATAAAATAGAGATGCCACAAAATACCCATACAACACTACATGCTACTCTATGACACATGTCGCCTTTGGATTGGTTGTAGGAGAGTTAAGTCAGCGATCGAGCAAACTGTTTGTCTTCAGGTAAGCTTAAGAGGATCGAGTAGGCATAGGGATAGCCTATGGCGAGTAAGAAGGGGGATGAACCCATAGCTGGCAAATCATCGTCGGCAACTATCGTAGGAGACTCTGGATTTCTTTATCATGAAATGAGAGCAAAATCGTTTGCAAGGATGAAGAGTGTCTGAGCTTGATAGTAGTAGCTAATTGAAATGTGAGGTCTCAGGGGTAGGCTCTTTTCTGCAGCTATGTCTGGCGAGCTCGAGAGGAGGATTTGATTGAGATGAATGGTGATCTATTTGCTATATGAGGAAACTCCCAGTGGCCCAATGTAGGGTGCCTCTCTATCGGATGTGAGCAAGTAACGCCCATTAGTATTCTTGGGCAAATTCCTCTTTAGGCTAGGGAGAGCCCTTTGTATGAACTATTATCTTCTTCTTTGTAGGAGGCATCCCCTTAAAGCTCACTGCCGACTGCTCCATCACCCCCACTAAGAGATGAGTAGGAGCTGCCCCCTTTTCTTCTTCTTCTTCTTCTTCAATGGAGGCTCCTCTTTTGGTCTCATGGGATGCTTCTCTTCCACTTCCCTCTCCCTCTTCTCCTCAACTAAGGGTTCAGCATCTATGAATATTAAGATAGTGAGATCCTTATAAGTGGAATAATTTGACACCCCGTCTATAAAATATCCAAAATCTTCATTAGTGCAGCGAGTTACTATACAAAGTGTCATAAATGCCAAACATACTTACATGGTCACGATCAAATAGCAAACTCCCCTTTAACCAAACAAATATGTGTGTTTCCTCTTCATTAAACTTGAAAACCACTAATTTATCCTTTGTAAAGGGGATAGGACAAGTCGACATCACACCCAGATGACTCATGATTTAAAGATGACGATTTTGGTCTTCTAGCCCCAAATTATGTTCACCAAGCTCTCATCCTAATGCAAAGAGGATAACTAGACGTTGAAGTCGTTGAAAGCTTTCACCATGAAGAAATAACAAAATAAAGTCAAGCTCCACTTGATCTTCTCTCATCATAAATGTGAAAGGAAACTGACGTTACTTGCCACGGAGTTTAGCATGATAGATGACGGCACGAATCGTAAGAATTTAGAATCCCGACCAACACCAGGCAAAAGGGGAGTCACAAGTTGAATCTAAAGTTGTTGCAAGGATGTTGAGCTTGTTGTTGTAGAAGTTTAGATGCTCGTCATCTATGGGCACTCGGATTATGAAGGAGTAACTCTTTATCCAAGAGATTAATTAGAATCTTTACCAGTCTATCAGGTAGGTACAATATCATCATATACAAGCCAGGTGCCCATTGAGTCAACACCAATACACCGACCTCATTCAGCGAATGACCTAGAAACTCGCCCAAGGTCACGTGAATACTTGGCTTGCTCGAGACAAGTGAAATTCAGCATTTTGATGTAACTCTTCTCAAATCCACTAGTAGAGCGTGACTACCCGAGCTCCCCTAGCATGGGATCATCGCTACCTATGGGATACAACAATAATAGAGTCGATGCCAAAGCAGGAAGAGGAATCATCACCTCAAGGGTGGCAATCACCACCACCAACAGATTGGCAAGCTCCATGCAATGCAAACACTAATCGGGCACGCCTTCCAGTAAATGGCCATCATCAGAGCTTGAAGAAAGAACGATTGTCATCTTGCTCTTTCCAACCACCACTGCCTTGCTCGGCTTAACCTGGCCATACTCAGCATAACCTCTACCACTTTCCTCAACTCCATGCCAATGAGCCCATTCACCTCAATAGTCACTACCTTCTTACTCATGGGCATGCTAGATTTTTTTCTAATTTTCTTATGCAGACTTGCATTTGTGGGAGACAACCTTCCTCAGCTTTTCGCTACCCACATCAGCATACTTGGAAGGACTTAGATCGACATCTCCCAAGCAAGGTAATAGCAAACACTTGAGGAAAAAGAGATGGAATGTAGCAACATTGCCACCTCTTGCTGCTATTAATAGCCAAAGAGTGCATGAACCAAATCAATGTCATAATGAAAAGCTTAAGGGATGTTGTGTCGCTCGAGGCAATAGTAATAATAGGTTATTAATTCTTATTTACTTTCCCTTTTGTCATTAGATAAATATATTAAGCACTTCTCTCCTTAAATTCACTTATCATTTTTCATAACTCGCCCCTCAAAGGAGCAAATGATTCAGGAAACTAAATATTTACACATATGTGCCTATATAGATAACTCATAGGTATCTCATCATGTTCGATTCCGTGGAACTTGATCAAGTGAGCATGTGATAAATGTAGCACTTTCCCAAAGGGAGTCTTGCCCTACAGGGCAGTTGCTAACACCAACCTGTGCACAAGTAAACACTCACCCTTGCAGAGATCACAATATACAAACTTCTAGAAGATCAAACCAAGAATGTGACCGTCTTCGACGAACTCTTCCAAAGGACTAGCCCAAGCAGGCCTTTGCCTAGAATGGAACTCGCCCTAAAAAAATTCACTACCCAATAACAACTATCCATAACCAAGAGTACCTACCATCCATGGGCATCTCATATTAAGCTACAGGAAGCGCCCACATACAAAATTTACAACCATAACTCCGTGGACTGAACTCGTCCTAAGCTACCAGCAACTTTCCCTCAAAAGACTCACCATCTATTATCGGGGACTCGCCTTCATAGATTTGACCTAAATGTCAGGTTCGAAAGCACTTGCCCTCGAAGTCTCACCCAAGTTAGTCATCGATGGATAAGTAGCCACATTAGAGACACGAGTCAAAAAATAAACCATCCAACTAATTTGTGTGTTTCCGTCAATCCACATTAGTCATATCAAGTACTATTTTTTTGTATTTATTCTAAATAAAGTCTTATTGTAGCTCTCTTAACCCTATGAATAAGGAATGAATAGATATATTTTAAACTTCATGCTATGTGGATTACTCACAAAGATATTAGAGCTTTCCACTTACTCTCCATACTAACTTTCTAATGCGGATCACTAACTAACTCTCATCTGCTAAAAACCTATTAGTAAGGTCAGATATTACACATGAATAAATTTGAATCCATCACTAATTATTTTGAGCAGCCCCATCATCATCGAAATTTGAAAGCTTGTTTGGATAAAAACATGTGTGAAAACTTTAAATAGATGTTTGCCAATCGAGCCCTCAACACAACAAATTTTGAAGCTATTCAAGCATAGATGCATGAGCAATTAATTTCAGACCCATTGAAGAAATATGACCTAAAAAAAAGTTTTGCTTTTGTTCAACAGATGATATAATCAGTAGTATCTGCTCCATGCCCTCTAGCACAATATTGTGGACATTTGTATACGATTGCATTTACACGAAAAATCCAACAAAAGATACTCCTGAGAAGACAAACGGAAAAAGGAAAACTAAGAAGGGGCAAAAGGTGATTATCAAAGATAAAATAGCATAGAACCATGGTTTATACTCTGGAATCGAAAAATAACCAAAACCTTGCCTGCTCACATCATCGCAGTAAGTAACTCCCCAATGCAAGATCCATTTCCCTTCCAGATTACAGCAAACGATGACTTGCAACCTCGAACCCTCTTCATCCACCCGACCGACCTTCACAGACACTTTCCCTTCAACCTAGCAATTCAAATTCCCAAATCATTAACCAATACCTAACCACCTAAACAGAGCATAATGAGGACAATTTCCAAAGCGGTCGAAAATCAAGGCCATGAGTGAGGCCCCGACAATCAAAACTGCGATCCCATTGAGCATTCACCGGCCATGGAAAACGAGATAACCTGACGAGAAAAGCTCACCGTCCTGGTCCGCTTCAGCGGGAACGTTTCCAAGAACACAACGTCGGCATCGGAAACCGCGGACGGGATCTCGGAAATTCCCGCCCTAAGGACAGGGAGAATACTAGGAACCCTCGGCTGCCTGATATTACCAACGGAGATTGCGGGATTATGGAAGGAGATCAGGCGGAGGAGCTTCGGTCTCCTACGATCGCCGGAGAAAAACGTATGGCTTTCCCTCGGTGGCCGGTGGAAGAGCAGCTCCCACCGGGCTAACGACATCGGAGGCGGTGAAGTAAGTTCTTCACATGTAGTAGAAAGACAGATGTCGGGAGGGGAGCTCTAGGTCTAGCAGGAGTAGCTAAATAATGTGAGTTTTTTTTTTTTTTTTTAAGGGAGATTTACCTATATTTTATTTCATATTATTTATATATCTAATATTTAAAATTTTAATATTATATTAGTGCCACTCATATAATTTTTTTCAAATATATCACTGCTATATTTCATTTTTACCACCCATATCATTATATAAATTTTAATATTTCATTCCTTGAATTCATTTTTGTTCTATGGGAGATAGGCATGTAATATTAAAGTTTTAGGTGTTAGATATATAAATAGCATGAAATAAAGTGGTATGTATTTAATAGAGTGTTGTCATGTAGCTAAGCCCGGGAAGTTTGGATATTATGAGCGAGAGCCAATGAGAGAGGCTGCAGTTTGATGAGAGATCTTTGATTTGTCCTATATAGGAAGAGTTTCTTATAGGCTCAGATGAGTTGAGACTGTTCATCTTCTCAAGCATCCTCAAGCAAGTTCCTTTGTTGTCCCAAGAGACTTCCCTATAGAAGCCCCTCTTATGAGTGAGTATCATTGTCATGATTAGGCAGCTAAATATGAAAAACATATGAAAAAAGTCATGAGCATACATTTAGTTTTTCAATTCACTCAAAACCTTTTGACATTTGAGTAAGAAAAAGATGAGTGGATGAATGCAACCATCAAATACAAGCATAAAAATAAATATGAATTTACTACCCTATTTTTATTGTAGTCTAAAAAATAATGTAAACTTTCTAATGATGATATGACTATGATGTGATGCTGATAAGTGTAGATTATGTAGTATTTTACATATTTTCTTTCATTAAAAATGTGTTATTTTACTTATTTTTGTATTGGAAAAAGTTAAAAATGATAAAAAATCTAAGGAGCTTACATTGTCGCGGCATTCGACGAAACAATGTTGTAGCGCCACCTTCAATACCATTGAGGCGCCACAAATTAGACATTACGACGGAGAGTCCTCTGTTTGCAAGTTCTAAGGTGGCAACACAGCGAACACTGGATCATTTCCAATATCGCGGCATCAAAAAGTCAACCTGGCATCGCTAGATTCTTTGTTTTAGAATGTCGAGGTGACACAATTTATCACGCCTTGGCGTCATTTTTTGCCACTCAAGCACTACAACGCTCAAATGTCAACAGTGTCACGGCATTGTAGTTGTAACTTCCAGGGGCTACATTCTCTCAATGAAAATATGTAATTGTTCACTAAATAACTGATTCAGGTCAGCAAGCCCCACGGCGATGCAAAAGTTTCAGCACCGAGACGTCAATTCACTTTAATAATATCATGCCACTCTTTTAAGTGTCTTAGTCTTAGATGCCTTTTTGTGTTGTCATATAAATAATGGTGATTGAAATAACTAGATCGACAAGAGGGGGAGTGAAATGATTAATTTTTGTAATCATAATATTGTGGAAGGTTATTTAATCATCCGATCACCTTTTTTGAAAATATTACTTCTGATTTTTGGAAAATTCGTATGTCTACTTTCTTGCAATCAATTGATTATTAAATGTGGCAAATAAATTTAACTGGTTATTCTTTACCGTCACGTGTTACATATGGAATTAAAACTGATATTCCTTCTAATCAATGGAGTAGGGAAGAATAAATCAATGCTCAATTGAATGCTAGATCATTAAACCATTTTTTCTATGCTTTAAATTCTAAAGATTGTATGTTTGTTTCCACGTGCAATACTAGCAAGGAAATTTTGGATAAAGTACAAACTATATATGAAGGCACTAGTGAAATCAAGCAATCCAGATTGAATACTTTAATGCATGATTATGAACTATTTTGCATGAAACCTTACGAGATGATCTTAGACATGTATGTTAGGTTTATTCAAATTGTGACATCCTTATATGCTTTAAATAAAGAAATTTCAAACTTTGAAAAAGTCAATAAAATTCTATGTTGTCTACTTGATAAGTTTGATGTCAAAGTGGTTGCTATTTGTGAATTGAAAATTTTGAATGAATATTCTATTGATAATTTGATTGGCTCACTCATTGCCTACGAATAATACTTTGGCCAAAGACTTTTGGTTGCAGGTGAAACGATAGTACTAAATGCTGAAGACTCGGAGAAAAGTGGCTTAGTTGGTAATGAAAGCAATAACTTATCAAGCAAATTGGAAAGCTCACTAAAACATAAGCATCAACAAAAGTGGAATAAAGATAAAAATTGTAAGGATGTTAAGATTTCTTATGACATTATTTGCTTTAGATGTAAGAAACCTCCTAGGCAGACTAGCAAAAAATCAAATAATGAAAAGCAAAAAATCTCCTAGGCAGACTAGCTTCTGAATCGTCATATTAGGAATAAGATGATGTTTAAACCTTTGTTTGTGTGTTTATTTTTCTGTGTTTGCATGTTTTTATTCATTTTTGTGTGTTTTCTGTGTTTTTCTTTGGATTTATTCTTTTTTCTTTTCTTTTTCATTAAAATATTAAATTTGCTTTTACTTTCTCTTTTTGTGATGTTTTCTCTGATTAAAACATACATATCATAATTAAAAAAAATAAATCTTTTTTAAAGTTCATTTAAATAAAATAAAAAACATACCTCCTGAATTCTTATGTAAGTTGTAGTTTACTTCTCTAAAAATAGTCAAAGGAATGAAACTCATGATTTTGACTCTCTATCTCATTTTCCTAAAGAGGTTATTTTACTTTTGATTCAAAAACTTTTAAAGTTCATTTAAATAAAATAAAAAACATACCTCCTGAATTCTTATGTAAGTTGTAGTTTACTTCTCTAAAAATAGTCAAAGGAATGAAACTCATGATTTTGACTCTCTATCTCATTTTCCTAAAGAGGTTATTTTACTTTTGATTCAAAAACTTCATCATATTTTAAATTTGATTTTAAAACTAAACTTTTTCATCTCTCTATATTTTACCTATCGCATAGGAATCTTTTGCAAGTTGTTGAATCCACCTCATAAATTTTCTAATCAAGTCGTTCATTTTTGTCAATATAATGGGTTTGCTTTAGTTCTTAAAACATCAGAAAGGAAACATATTTGATTGAAAATAAATGGTCAATGATGTCAAATCAAAAGATGCGCAATGACGCCAAATTGAGAAAGATACACAAAGTGTATCTAATATTAAAATATATACAATGTGCGTCAAACAATTGATAATAAGCATAAAATGAGCCCACAAAAAGTATGTTTACTTTTCTTGTACTACTTAAAGCTTAAGAAAATCCTTGATATTTTTTATGCTTGAGTTTGAAAAACATGATCCCTGATTCACCAATTTTTGCATTGATATTCTATTAGATATGTTTTATGAAAGGGTTTTTAAAAAATTTAATGTTTCTTTTCTAATTTGTTTCTTGACTTAGATATTAGATTAAAAAGTTTTTTAGCCTTTAAAAGAACTTGAGTTTTGAGTAATAATTTCTAAATTTCTAACATTTTCTGGATTATGTGTTGTCAATACATTTCTTACTAAGTTTTTAAATAAAATCAAGAGGTAACTTTCTCATTTTAAAGACTTTTTTATCAGGGTTTGTTTTTGTTGTTTGTGCCCCTTCTCCTTTTGATAATGTCAAAGGGGAGAACGTACTGTTGTATTTGTATCTTTTTGTAACTTTTTTAAAAAAAAAATAAAAACAACAAAAAAATTGATTTCCCATATTTTTTTTAATTTTTATTCTAGTAAGGGGGAGATTAGGAGAAAATGTTTTTCCTTTTTTGCAAATCCAACCTGTAATATTTGTCATCATCAAAAAGGGGAAGACTGTTGCAACTCGTGACTATGAGTTTATGTTTTTTATAATAATAAATATTATGGCTCACTTTCTATTGTCTACATGTATTTATAATATATTTTTGTTTCTGTGTTTACTAACATTTCAAGATTACAGTGCATCTTACAAGGCTCGAGTTTTTGCATAATAAGTTTTATTTATAATTTTCATTAATGTATTTTTATTCTGTAAGGGTGTATGCTTGCTTGTAACCTTTCTTACTTAATTCTATCCTTTTTAGAGTTTTCTGCTTTTGGTCACTTCATCTAGGACGATCCACAATTCAGCCTGGGCGATCAGTTAAAAATAGAAACTCTAATTAGGGCATCATAGTTAAAGCAGCCGTCATTAAGCTCATCATCCTAGACTAAATTCGTATCGGCCGAGATGATAGACTCATATCAAAAAGAATATGCCTCCAGATCTATTTAGATATTGTTTATATTTTTGGACATCATCCAGGACATTGTTTAGGACGATGCAACAAAATTATGCCAAAAATAATATGGTAATTAAGGACCAAACATCGCCATCTTCCTTTCAGGGCGATGTTCTGGATGATATGTGCGAATTTGAACTAATCATATCGAACGATATCCTATCGGCCTGGATGATATGAACTAAAACCTTTTGATCATCCCAAATCATCCTGGCTGATTGAGCTTAATTTGTACTTATCGTAAATGATGATATTTATATCATCCTTGACGATAATGTTAGTTTGTTGTAATTAAGAGCTAGTTTGGAGCTTTTCAATTTAAACTTTATCAAAGCACTTAAAAAGTGTCTTTGGCAGCCATTGAAGCTTTGTTCTTCTGGAGGAAACTTGAAGAGAGAGCTTGAAAGGGAGAGAGGAAAGGGTGGAGTTTGAGAGAGGGGGAAGATACTAGGAGGGGGTTTCATTGCAGTGTGGAGGGGGTTCCACACAGTTGCTCCGGTGAGCTTGCACCTTAGTACCATCGAATTCAAGGCTCATCTTGAGGGAAGTTTTAGGAAGAAGAAGATCTCTTTGGTGTCAAAGGTCCTGGCTACTCCGCCGCACTAGAGAAGGTGGAAGTGATTTTGTAAGGGCTTCTCCGTCTAGCTGTGGGGGCTAAATGAGAGACACTAAAGGTTTAGTGTAATACTCGGAGGGTGACTCCGAGGAGTGGATGTAGGTCAGGTAGGACTTAACCACTATAAATCTAGTGTGTTCTTTCTTATTATTTTCTGCACTTTATTTTTTT